CGTTTATATTCTGAATAAGACCTGTAGTCACCCTAGGTTACATAAGGCAATAGTTGATGGTTGAAAATTCCCATCATGATATGACGAGAACTGATTAGGCAAAGCAAGCATTGATTACATTTAGTGGAATTGTGGGAAAATGAAGTTAGCAATCCTTCATCACTACATGCGGCCAATGCCATTATACAGGATCTATTGATGTTCTCGAGATCTGCTAATTATGAATATGCATATATGATCGCGAACTTGTTTGCTAATGCGATTCCTCTACCATAATCACCAGAAGAAGATGGTGGATGCTCTTGACCTGATGTTACTAGGACGTTCGGCCTCCTTGGATTTCGGTGACAACGCACTGAACTGTTGTCCATCATTTAACTCGACAAACTCCATCAAACCTGGACCTATGTCTTATCAACGAAGCAAGATACTCATTGGCCTGGTATATATCTACTCAAAAAATTACTTTTGACAGGTATAGAATTGGATGATTAATCACATTTTCTATATTTAAAGAGTAGGTTCTTAACTTATCAATAGGCCTGGAATGTAGCCTCGAGGTCATTTAAGATCAAGTACGGACTTAGAGTTTAGTTTCCCACATTTACATAAATGGGTAACAGACTTCACAATTTCGCCATATTAACTGAAATTCCTCGGCGACTTTCAGTCTTTATATCATGTTAGACGACCCAGGGTGATTCGAGTTTTTATTCATTTTCAAGCCTATCTCTTCTTGTGTAGATAAGTGTCGATAGCTTTATTGTATGTATGTACCTGTGCAAGTATCTATATAGGTTTATATACATTCACACATTTGTGTTTGCTGGTGAATGGAGATACGAAGCTCCAGTAATAGTTAAGATGAAGCAGAACAATAAGACATGTATACTCTTTTTTTTCAGGATAGTGCATCACGTTTAGTGCAGTTGATGGTATCTATTTCATTCTATCCATCCTTCTTTGTGAGTTCCTACCTAGATTTATATTTCCGTTGCCTGCATCCAGTATAGTCTTCGACCTGTTGACATGCCATAACCAACAAAAAAGACGAGTTTGAGGCCATTCTTTCACTTGCCCATTTGCTGCCCTGTTCTCAGCAATTTCAGACTGCTACGGCCGACACTTTATAAATTCATTTTTATGTTCCATCATTATTTGGCCAGTGGGACAAGTGATCTTAGCATTACCACCAGTTACTCTGTACTATTGTTCTTACATTCACTCCGAGAGTTGAAATTGTCATAGTCCTCTGCTGGCGACAGTTCAGCAGAACTCTGAGGCCTGGTGAATATGGACTTAGCTATCGGAAGTTTTCTGCATTTTCCTCCCATTCCTATTCTCAATCGGTCATCGTATTCCCACTCTCAGACGTCTGGTGGGGTATGTGCGTGCCGCCTTGGCTTAAGTATCAGCTGCAAAGTCAGTCCAACAAATCCGGCCTGTCACGCGAATGAGCAGGTCTTTGTTTCTGGGTCTTTGTTTCCATGTCCTTTCTAGGCTTTGCCAGTTGCTCTCTCTTTTCTCCAATCTCACTGTTAAAGGCACTGAAAAGTGGTTAAAACAACCCAGAAAGTATTTCTCTTTGAGTAATTATCCTTCACCTACTGAAGATGTGTGTGTGTGTGTGTGTGTGTGTGTTCTTGCCTGCGTGTATCAATGGGCAAGATAGAGTCTGTGTGAAGAATTGGCATTGCACAAACTACACCCTTTTTGGTATCGCCTGGCAGAAGCCTACTGTTGAAGTATACCCTACACCACGTGTTGCCTCATCGTCAAGACAACATGGAGCTACCCACATGATGGAATAATTTGTTCTGATTTATTTTACTTTAACGCATTCATCCGTATTCTCGAAATCGACACATTGTTGCATGTGTGTATGCTCTATTGCACCATGGTATCCTAATTAGCCTTCATTTATCACCCTTTGCAGCTTTTATGAAGGCTGGGTAAACCCCAAATAGACGAAGAAATGAGTCAAACATTTTATTGCTCACATGTTATCAATGCTTAAAGCAATCAGCATCAAACCGCGTGATCTTCACTGAGAAGTGCCTTAATTATGCCACATTGTCCTGTTCCGATTCTTCTTTTTCTCAAACATTTTATTTACGAATCATCTTTTTTCCTCCACTTATCAATCATGATTTTGCTCATTTGTCTCTGAATCAGTGGCATTGCTTAACCTCATCTTTTCGCGTCTTCAACATAACCTGTATTTCCTGTGAAAGAGCGAATTGGGTGAATTGATAAATTAGCTTAATCAGAGGCCAAAGGAGGGCGCTGTTGGTGCACCACTTGAATACCTTCTTCGGGTACCATTGCAGCCAGTTTATGAACCCCGTCCAGTCGTTTTTTCAAGCTAACTAAAAGGTATGACAGGATGATGTCATTATAGGATTTTTAGGCCTCATGATGCCACTGAATTTCCCTTCGAATTGTGTACCAAACAGAATGAATTTCACTTTCGACATTTATAATGGAAGTACCGATTAGGCAGACATGTGTTTATCGTTGCCGTTGACGACTCTACTTACTTCGATGTAGATACTTATCGAGACTATCAGTCGTTGCGTCACCTTAGATCTGGAATAGTCTCAAGAACAACTTAAATTAAAAATTATGATACGTCTCGACGCCTCGACAGGCACAGGTTTTTTGCACAGCCTTGGGCAGTGTGATCGTCTGCCGTCTTGGCAACCGGGCGATTACGACATGCCTCCGGTCCCGATGAGGTCCAGGATCCCTCCGATCCTTCTCTTTATCACGTCCTCCACACCAGCCTCCCGATCCGTGACCGGAGGAGTACAGCCCCAGGACGGTCTGAGATAGCCCGGGGATGTATGTCAACCTGAGCCATGGGAAAGATAGACCGACCGCGCGAATACACCTTACCGTGTAGGTCGGAGGGTGCAGTCTGGCAGTTGTTAATTCGGTGATAGGGGACGGCACACGCGTCCATCGCTTCAACGGCCATTCCTATCTCATCGCAATTCACACTTTCGCGGCTAAACTGCGGCCTTGCATCACACATCCTTTTGTCTCTTCTTCCTAATGCGCCCCACACGAATGTGCAAAACGCGCATACACCCCTCATTACACATATACACACACGCACACAAACACAGGCATCTCCTTGCACCAGACGGAACATACAGCATCGGCTGATGTAAGGCAGCCTGCAGACAGTCGGTTCCCACCTCGCTTCATTGGATGACGTGTCGAGCTTGAATGAGCAAAACGTGTCAACTGATAAGGCTGGGACATTTTCTTTGTTTTCCTTCCCAATCTATTTGCCAGCTTCCGAAGACTGAATAAACCTGGGAACTGGCTAACTTTTTTCTAATCTCTTCAAGCCAAAGATTCGGTTTTGTTGTGAT